AACCTAGACAATTCTATGATTCTATGATTCTATGATTCTATAACCAGCAGCAGGGAGGGACCACGGTGACTTCAGCTCAGGGAGACAGGAGGAGCCTGTGGGGATGGCTTCTCCACATCCAGCAACGTGGTCGACAGGAACATGAACTAGCAGCTCGGGAAAGAATTTTTGTTGCTGCTGAGATGTCTGCCAAAGTGAATGTTACAGTGCCTATCCAGTTTTCTTGGTAGATGCGAGCTGTTCTTTTCTGGGAATCATTACTGTCTCGCTCAGGGCGGTTTTGTGGTTCTGGTTCCTGCTGGGGGCAAAGGGTGCCCAAGCTTTGCCTCTGGCGTTAGTACAGACCGGTCCTGCTGCCTTGGGTGACCCGCTCACACTGCGAGGCAGTTAGGGGTGACCCTGGCTGAATATTTGGGTGCCTGAATACCTTCGGTGGCATCAAATACTGGCGAGCAGTAACAAAGCTTTGAATTTAGGAGCAAATGTAGAATAAAGGAGGTGAACACAAAAGAAAGATCAAAATACCATTTGTCTTGCAGTTACTGTCAGTGCTAACATCCCTCAACAGCCTAGTTTTAAAATGAGATATTATTTTTCAGAGTCTAGTCCTGTCTTTTGTTTAGGATTTTTCAATGAATGTTAAAGAGCTGTAGCTTAGACCTAGCACTACCTAGTCACAGCAACAACTGACACTCATAAGTTATCAAACCAGTAAAATTATATTTGCATTGAATGTACTGATGTTAGATTTGTTTCACAAAGCAATGCCCTCTTTTTGCATGTATATAATTTATGTATATATGATGGCATAATATAGTGGCGCATAGCTTTATATATATAAAAAAGAAGTTTGGCATCTGAATAAGCCCACAGGAACTCCATATTACTAATGATGTATTCTGCTACCGAAATTCAAACAATATTACTAGCTCTGCAGATCATTGCAAGTCTCAAAATACTGACTGAATTTCTTAAATCCCGAGCTTCTGGAGTCCTGCCACTGTGTGACACATTCAGTTTTCGTACTTTTAAAAATTATTTCTGATTCTTATTGTTGCAGAGAAAAACACGTAAGTTAGATCTGCATGAAGCTTGTGAATCTAAGAGCTTGGAAAACAACAGCACATAAAAGCAACCCAACTCCTTTTGAGATAATATTTTGCTTTCTGGTATGTGGTAACTGTTTGGAAAGGGGCAGGAAAGCCCTGATACAGAAGGAGCCACAGCTGCCTGATGAAGGAGCCAATCTTGTAAGCTACCAAACTGCAAAGTCCTGAGGCCTCTCAAGCCTCACGGGGAGCAGTGAGAGCTGAGCTATGCAGTGTCTCACAGAATCCCTTCTATGTAGTTAAATGAAGCAGGATGTAATTATTTTCATGAAAGTTAGATCAGGCCCAGCCAATCTAAAACAAAAAAAGTAATTTTTTTCTGGCCAGCAACAAGAATGAAAATAACAATGACCATTTTATCTCATGCTTTTCAATGTGCTTTTAGGTTTTTGAATTAGAATGCGCAGCAATATGAATTCTCCAGCCTGGTGTGCTCACTGACCTGTCAATGAAATAACCAAGGATGGGGTTTCCTCCGTCTACAGCAGGCTGCTTCCAGGAGACAATGACATAATCTTTGTTGGCATCTAAGCACTGCACGTCTAGTGGTGCACCAGGGGCTCCAGGGATTTCAGCATCAGCATCTATGAGGATGGAGACATACGTTTCCAAATGTGAACCACAGTTTTCACAATTATTAATCTTTAAGGACCAAACTCTGTTCATACTAAGCCAAAAAAAAGAAGTTCCATCACACTGACCTCAAATATTATTAATTTTTATATTGCCAGTGTTTTTCTAGGTTTTGGTTTTCTCTTTGCCATATTTACAAATGCTTAATATGTTACAGCATACCGTGAATGTGATTCATCTAGGCATTTTAAATAAAATTAGTAACATGCATTCTGGTTAGGTAGCTGCCAGAATCATAGCTGAACTAAAAACTTGGCAGACTATATATTTACCTGCTATTCTACTTAGGAGAAGAGGCTGATATCTTGCCTTACAGCCAGGCAATAGCTGAATCAGAAGTGTTCACCCATTGGATATACAACACTGAATTAAATATCTTATCTCCACACAGAGACCTTCATTGTTTGTTTTTGGTTAGCTATGAACTGCAAAGGTATCAAAACCTTTTGAAGTTTAATTATATTACACATACATTATCATTGTGGAATATAACCTTCATAAGGATGAGCACATCGTTCCTTTCAAGTGTTTATCACAGATCTGGGACTGCTGTGTGTCCAAAGGGCCTTGACTCCAGCATCAGCTTCTGGACATATCTTATCTAAAGCTTTAAAAAACAGAGCACAGTGCTGGGCACTGGGGAATTTTACTGTTTACACAGTCAGAGTCTGACGTGTGCGATGGGGTAATTTTCATGTAGAGAAAAATAACCTTTGCAGGAAGATTGTATGAAAGGCTTTCAAAGAAGAGAGGTTGTTTCTCTGCAGAATGACATCTATTTGTACAACTACATGTAGCATTTTTCAAGCCCTGTTGTGAACTACTTCAAAAGACCTGACTTAGACAAGAAAGATGTATATACCTGGAAAAAAAAATATTTTGCTAATAAATATTATTCATACATTCCATCTAAACCCCAGACTTCTTAAAGAAGTTCGATGTTTCAAGGCATAACAGGATTTTGTATTACAATATACAGTAAACTCTATTTCTTATGCTTTTGGCTTTCAGAAAAAAATGCCTTGTAAGAGTATTTAACATGCTTCATTAAGTAAAACAGTAGTCTTCAGAAAAAAAAAACAAACCACACTTTACACTGTGTCTTCTCTTATAGGCAGAGTAGCATCACATGGAGCTGTTGAAGCAGCACCAAAATTACCGAGTCCACGTTCTGATTACAGCTAACTCAATGCATTTTTAAAAACAATAACGTACAGAGTAAACAATCCAGTTAACATAACAAAATAATAAGAACATTAAGAGTAATAACAATATGTCTTCAGTGATCTCCATACAAAAGGTTTTAATTGCCCATATTTTCTGCTTGATGGAACATGAGACACCCCAGTTTCTTTCCAAGACAGACTGGGAAATAGCTGGGACAACCAGCATTGTTGATCAGCCTCAGGGAGGCTAAGAGTTCATCCCTGATGACTTGCTGACAAATGCTGACCTGTAGTCATGGCAGAAGAGTCACACACACTCTCTAAGCCTGTCTAAAGACCTAATGTTATGAGCACGATTAGTGCATCACTCACTTCCACCGATACACAGGGATTTCTATCATGACACAGAAAGACAACTGCTTGTGCTCAAATACCATAGCTAGCCATTTATAGCAAATTTGCCCACAATTTAGGAGGAGCAGTGAGGAATATACTAGCCAGCTGAGACTGTGGGGACCATTTTAAGTAGGAATGTAGAATATAATTATCTAATTATCTATTTATCTAATTTGGCAAACACATCGATTGGCTAGTAAGATGTTCTGGTGAAAGGGGTAGTGGGTTCGCAGTCAGGTCATACCTGCTTTGCTAGAAGATGTAACAGGAACGAGGGTGATCATTTATGTATATGGCAGCACAATTTAAAACAAAGCAAGAAAGACAAGTCCTATTTCTTGTCACAGATGCTCATTTCAGTAGATGCTTTCTTCAGGTGATGAAAACATCTGCTTCAGTCATATTTTCTGAGCAGGCTGTTATCTCACACAGCTCTGCTGGACTTGGCAACACAGTGCCATTCTGGGCATGGTCTCAGAGCCAAGAATTTCCAGAGCCTTTTGAATTAGCATTGCACACTTCAGCTGCTTTTAGAAGCTGGGACAGATATAGAGTCAGCACGCAACCTGATAGCCATGGCTCTTTTTAAAGAAATACTTCTCTAATAGAAATTCAAGGAAGTTTTTCATGGTACAAGCAAACAACACCCAGAGAAATTACATTTTAATTCTACACTTCGCTGCTTTACTTTAGAGAATCACAGAATGGTTGAGATTGGCAGACAACTCCAGAGATCGCCTAGTCCAGCCCCTGGCTCAAAGCAGGGTCAGCTAGAGCTGGTTGCCCAGGACCGTGTCAAACTGGGTTTTGGATATCTCCAAAAGGATCACTTCCTCAACCTGCTGGCAATGCTCATCCTAACACAGCCCAGGATGCCGCTGTCCTTCTTTGCAACAAGGGCACATGCTCACCTTGGTGTCCACCAGGACCCCCAGGGTCTTTTCTGAAAAGCGGCTTTGCAGACAGTCAGCCCCCAGCCTATACTGGCGCATGAGGTTATTCTTCCCCAGGCGCAGATCTTTGTGTTTCCCTTCCACTGTATTTTTTCCTGCATTGTGTGTTAGAGAGAACGCCTCAAATGGTGCACAAAATCTTGATCAAAACAGTGCAGTTTAGCTAGCAGCGAGATTTTACAAAAAATTATTACGTAGACTTTTGCTCTTCATGACTTATGTTCAGGACTCTTCACAGGCTGAAATTGAGAGAGTCGTGAAGTTACATCAACACCTTAAATTTCCTCCTCAGAATGCCAATGGCATTTAGAAGTCTTCTAGCATGTGACACCAAAGCATGAGATATGCATTCAGTTTTTCCAGGGATAACAACTGGAAGCTATATTGCTGGAATCTATTAGTAGAAAATATTTATCACCTTTTTATTAAGGAAAAAAAGCACCTCAAATAGCTGAGACTCATTTTGCCAGCATGTTTTCCTCATTTCTGTAGTGAGTTTCATTCACAAGACAGTATCCTACCTCGAACAAAGACATAATTACTGTACTCTTCATAGTAGTCTCCCATCACCACTCGTAGAGTGTAAAGACCTTCATCTTCCTTGTTTGCATGAGTCAGTGTTAATGAAGCTCGCTCCCCGCTCCAATGCATCTGGACCCATTTGGATGGTGTAATAAGAACGCCTAGAAATTGGAGAATTTAATGATGAGAACTAGCTGGATCTACTGTGGAATAGATTCTGAATACAGAGAATATATTGGAATATATTGGAAATATACAAGGGACCATTCTTATTATGCAACTTTCTGTCTTTGAACATAATAATAAATTACAGGTAATTCTGCTCTTATGCCAATTTTGTCTTTGTTTTCAAAGTGTAACTTCAGAAAGCAACAGCTTTTTTATCAGCTGTTGCACAACACATTCGTGCAAGTACTTAAGAAATGCCTTGGCATATAAATAAATAGTAAAAGCTATGTGGGCTATGTAGATGGGCCACACAGATGTTGGAGCTGATCAAAATGCTTCTAATTTAAATTTTTTTTAACAAAGAAAAAGTCCCTGGAAGACATTTTCACAGTGCTTCATCAGTTTTCTAACTGTGGTTCCGCTTCAAAACGCTAAATTTTGCAAAACTTTTAATTGAAAAAGAGAAAATATTACTGTTTGGAAATCTGAGAAAGTGATAACAAAATCATAATGTTCATATATGCTGAAAGAAGCAAAGATTTACATGGAAGAAGTTTATTTTTCTTCTCATCAAACATTCTCACCATTTCTGTACCATTCGATGTCTGGTTTGAAGCGCTTGATATCAGGACTGATGACAACTGTGCAGCCCAGGCTCATTGTCTCTCCTTCTCTCCCAAAGGCTACATCAAACTTGTCGACAAAGCTGATTTCAAACCTGGAAGCGTAGCCATGAGGGGTAACGCCAACTGTATGAGGGAAAAAAAAAACCTGGCTGTTTACTTTTTTCTTCCTTTTGTGACAAGACCAGGAAGCAAAAGTACCCAATGATTATGAATACAGGCTCAGGTAAAGTTTAAGGTATAAATAGGAACAATATATATCCAGTCATCATCTTCAGAGTAATTGCAGTGTTAAATAATCCAAGCCCTTACTATCACAGAGAATGAAATGTTTATTTATTCATACAATGCTAGTTCTTACAGCTAGTTCATTTTATCAGGGAGAGGCTCCTGCAGAATTTCATTACAGAATTTCATTACAGAATTTCCGAAACTTCAGATCCAGCATTTTATCATTTTATCATAAGGTTTGTTTTATAACTTAAAAAGAATTCTATTTACGCTTAATGATTTGTTCAGGTCAAGCTGATCTTTAGCTTATGTGGTTCTTCTCTTAATTAACTCCTTGCTCCATCTCAGGGCAGTCACGTGTCCACTCTGCGTTCATTTTTGTAAGCTAATTAAGCCTTTGGGGTAATATAAAATGAGCTCTCCATTCCTCCAGGCATTCAGGTAACCTGTTTCTGTACTTGCTCCTGAATTTATCGTTTCTGATGCTGTGTGACCCAAGTTGTGCAGTATTCCAGACAGAATAGCCTAGGTGCCTGTGCTGGTTTTGGATGAGATAGAGTTAATCTTCATAGTAGCTAGCATGGGGCTATGGTCTGGATTTGTGCTGGCAACAGTGTTGATAACACAGGGATGTTTTTGTTATTGCTGAGCAGTGCTTACACAGAGTCAAGGCCTTTTCTGCCTCTCACCCCACCCCACCAGTGAGTAGGCTGGGGGTGCACAAGAAGTTGGGAGGGGACACAGCCGGGACAGCTGACCCCAACTGACCAAAGGGATATTCCGTACCATATGATGTCATGCTCAGCATGTAAAGCTGGGGGAAGAAGAAGGAAGCGGGGGAAGATTGGAGTGATGGCGTTTGTCTTCCCAGGTAACCGTTACGCGTGATGGAGCCCTGCTTTCCTGGAGATGGCTGAACACCTGCCTGCCCATGGGAAGTAGGGAATGAATTTCTTGTTTTGCTTTGCTTGCATGCACGGCTTTTGCTTTGCCTATTAAACTGACTTTACCTCAACTCATGAGTTTCCTCACTTTTACACTCCCGATTCTCTCCCCGATCCCACCAGGGGGGAGTGAGCGAGCAGCTGTGTGGTGCTTAGCTGCCAGCTGGGGTTAAACCACAACAAGACCTTACACTTGTACTGCACATACATGGCACAGGGGCTTTCCAGCTTCTTTTGAAAAGAGCTCAGCTGATAAAACCTAGTGTCACATCTTCCTTTTCCACAACTGCCCTGCACTGGTAGCTCTCAGTCTTCCTGTGACCAATGAATACATGCAGATCGTTGTCTTCCTTTCCCATAACCAGGTGATAAATCCCAAATTGTACTGGAAATGTGTTGCCTAGCATTTTGTAATGTGGTACATAATTTTGTTTCTATTATTCCAAAGCTTCAGTATATAAATGCCAGCTAGTACGCCTTTGCAGCATATCTATCTCTTGTTCTATTTGTGCTGCTACAATAAAAAAAAAAGTCTCATCTGTCGGGCCTTCCATGCAAAGGGCCCCTAGGGCACTTCACCCACATGGCATACATGGGTGGATTGTCTTAATGTCATCTATGCAATACTGTAAATCACTTCAAAATATGAGGTTCTCAGGTAAAAAAAAAATACAATTTTTACTTTGATATATCAAAAATACTCAGATTCAGTTCTGGCTATTTGATCTTTCCTAGGCATTTTCACAATGCACAGAATCGCATATCAGCAGACAAGAACGATTAAGTTAACTACTGTACTTATGCACGTGCACAACCTAGCTTTTTTTCTAGGCCATGCTTTACATATTGCAAAAGATGAAGTGTCTCTTGCTTTGACAGATTTTATTCCACAGTGAAGTTCAGTATTAAAAGGATGCTTCTTATATAAGCAAATAGCCATAGACCTAGAAGGAAATGCCATTTTCCCCTACAGGTGAGGCTAATACCATCTGAAATTATAGAGCTCAGTACTTTTGTAAATCAGACCTGCTGCCTTTTTAAATAATGTTACAAAATATTCTGTTTAGTCATTTGTCATGATGTCACAACTGTAAATGTATGTGTCAAACATATATTGCAACTTACATCCCACAGGCATGGAAACGGTTCCAGCATGCAAAAGACTTGCATCAATTTCTCCTTTGTACCCTAGACAGAAAAAGAACAACTCCAGTCACTATCACCAAGAGGTGAAGGCTTTCTGAGCCACAAAACCAAAACTGGTAATGTGCATCTTAACAAAAAAACCCAAATGAAATATTTTACAAACGTACTCTTTACCACGAGGGAAGCATAAGCTGAAATTTCTCCTTTAACATTCATAGCAGAGGCCCGATACTGAGCAGTGTCATCAAAATCACATCTAAAATGATAGAAAATATTAAGTAGGCACACATTTACTCCTTGGCATGTTTTAGATCCTATGTTTTAGATTAAAGAAATCCTCAGAAATCTGGGTAAAATCTATAAAGAAGTAAAACTTTGGGAGACAGACACACTGGACTGATTGTAGCCATTAAGTTTTTCTCAGTGTTAAAAATCCAATGTTTGCAATAAATGTCTCTTTTCAAATATCGCTTACAGATTTGAAATTAAGAATACAGCAGAAGTAGGAAAAAAAGTTCTAATAATATTTATCTAAGTTATCTCTAATTTACTCTCTCCTATGGAGAGATACCTCATGTGGAAGCTGTAGAAATGGTAGATATCATAAAATATTTTCAAAGGGCACCTACAAGTATCTAAATTGTCAAATCTAGATTGTTGCTGATTGTCAAATTAGGTGATTAGGTCTCATGTTTTGAATGTTTTTTAATGCAAAGCAACTGCAAAAATGTCTCTTTGGAGGACGAGTACTGTGAAAGATCTTTCTTGTGTATAAGTGAGGACATCTCAGTTCTGTTCCTCATTTCAGTAAGAATCAGGAACTTTGCTATATCTGAAAAACAGTTAACACATATTTTTACCCTGAACTAGATTCTTCTCCTGTTTAACTGTACTCATGCAGCAGACAAATGGAAAAGTAATCACAAATGTCCCACATGTTTCTGACTCAGCCATAAATAGAATAATAAACCAGATAAATTACTCACGTAAATTGCATATCCTCTACTGAGGAAAACCAGAACTGCTTCAACATTAGGTAGACAGCATTCACCTCAGCTGCACAAACTTGAGCTCTCTTACATCCCCAAGAGATATGTTCACATTTTGCAGGTCTTAATCTACAGCAACATTTCAGTTTAAGCTATTTGTTAAATTATCTAGTATTCCCTTACGTGCTAATCTCCAGTGAGTGCAGTCCATATCGACTTTTAATGATATACTTGCCAGGGTGAGTCTGTACGTCGATGGGCACGTTGTTTTTGTACCTATGGAAAAACAAAGAAACAGTATGTCACAAATATACTTTAAAAGGTCAAGTGCTTGATGTGTGAAATAGAACATCAGTTTCTGCATGTTTCTCCTAGATAAACTGTAGTCTAATTTCCTAGGAAGACATTACATATCTTTGGAAGCTTAAACCCTGTCTTTCTCTTTGACCCACCCCAGGTGAATTTTATTTTCTAATTAAGAGGAGAAAATAGTCTTGAATGGGATAAGAATCTATTTATATTACCATGAACTTCATGTTACTACTTGTAAAGGAATGGAGGAGTCACATGAGCAACATATCAGAGTTTTGTGAATTGCAAACAACAAAAATTCTGTAGCATCCTTACCTACTAGGTATCACACACACTTGTTCCGTTTGCGTATTTGTTTTACTTTTAAAACCTTCATATTCACAAAAATGTCAGGTAGAAAGTGAACATCTTTTTACTTGCATAGCTAAGTTGACAGAAGCCCCGACAGGGTTAAACTGGTAAAGAAAAATTGTCTGGTAAAGTGCATTGCAGCAAGGGATCTGGCAAAAGCTTTGCTACCAAAACCTTCTCTGCCTTTACATGTATACATTATGAGTGTTTTCTGGTACAGGTATATCTTCAGGTAGGAAAAGTTTACTGTTCAAAATTCCCAGTAAGTAATTTGAAGGAATGAATCAGTACTGATCCGTAGTGAGCTGGCACTGCTAATTTCAGAATTTATATAAACAGGTTGAGACTCACAGAGGGACAGTTCAGTGGTTCATGGTAAATTCTTCCTCACCAACTGTTGCATGAAAAGTCACTCATTCTGGATAATACATGGTGTATTATCCGGAAGTAAATGTTTGAGTGAATCCTGTCTTAATAAGCACTAGCATTATGGAACAAACTGGCAATAGGAGTCTAATAAAATCACACACTGAATTGTATTCAGCACATTTGGGATTGATTTGAGGTCTATAAAGAAAGAATGTTTCCTAAGATAGTGTCCTCTTTTAACATAGCTTTCCCTGTGCTCCGTAAGGTACATATATAAGGGAAGTGGAAATACAAATTATGATAGATAAAAGTATCATCATTTCTTATTTTGATGTAGCTTAAATAAACCTTTCTCTTCATAAGTTATAACAGATATCCAAAGCCAAACAGCTTTGCTTTTTCATTTCATATTCTAAATTTTAAATCTCTCACGATTTTCAATCAGGAAGGGGAACTGGTCTGGTGTCAGTGGCTTGCCCGACTTTATTGAACACGTCAATAATAAGCAATTTTATTTTTATCAAGAATATTATTAGTTTAATATGTCTCAAGATGAAGCTATATCCACAATAAATCTGAAAATTGCCTTTCAGCACTTTCAGTGTTGCGGAATAAAGAATATTTCCCTGGCTACAAATATTTGGGCACAGTAATATGCTTGGATTTTTCCAAGTGCCAAAGTGAGCGAGGATCGTAAACCCTAATGCTTTTCATCCTGATCTTCCTCTCAGCAAGATGTCTATGAAAAGGGACTCAGTGCAGGGCAATACTCTCTGTTCTGGACTTCAGACAGTTGCAGAGATGCTTGAACTCATTACAGATCTCCTACTGCATTATCCTGACTTACAGCAAAGAATAATACATGGGTCCAGTAAGAGTAATCCATTCACCACCACTCTTCACCTCATCTGTGCGATGGTGCCCCTAGACTGATCTGCCTGGGAACATCTGGGCATCTTTATATTCCATGTAGTGTGTCAAATAATAGTTTAGAAAATAAAATAATGCCATCAGTTCCTTATATTTTCCATGGAATGTGAAATCCTGTGAAACAGGACGTGACTCCATAATCTCTTCAACTTTTCTCCAAAGGGCTGGGCAAACCTTGAATCCTGTTGGCAGCGAAGGCGTTTGGTAGCATGTGGTGCTGTGCAGAAACAAGCTTTAACTGAGTCATGCCAGCAGCAAGACGACTTTCACTTCTTTTGTCTTCATTATCAGGTTAGTAAAAAATAGTTGATTCAATTCAATTTTTATTTATATTGATCTATGGAAAGAATAGGGCTCATGTGTTAGAAGGACCACTTGTTATTTCTGGAAATGCAAATTCCAGAACAGCCAAATCATTAGCTAATGTTGGACTGCAACCTCCCACTGTCTTACGCACTGATAGTTTATGCTTTCTGCTACTGGTTTCAAATGTCCTGGGTTTTCCATATGCTTTTTCCAAGTGAGTCAGAACAGCTGCATCAGACAGTAAGGTTTTCTTTAGAGAAAGTTCATGAAGCTTTATAATTTTTCAGGAACAGCATGAAGAGTTCTTCATTGCTTATACAAAGAATGACTGGAATACACGACTGACATTTCATTAGAAATGCTGAATGAAAGCTGACAGATCCAGGTCAGCACTGTTCTGTATCTCAAAGCAAAGACACCTGCTGAAATGGCTGTGAACTCTTTTTTTTCCATTAGTAGCTTGTGGCAAACTGAAATCCCTTTGGAATTCAGATGTACGGTAAAATGATGTATTAATTTCCACCATCCACATTTAGCACTTAGATGAAAGGCTGGTTCACCGAGAGAGCAAAAGAAGGCAGACAGCTGAAGGCTTGGTTTAACCACGTCAGGTTTTTGGGATAAGGTGACTCTCAGCCAAAGTGAAAATGGCCCAGCTCTCGTGTTCTTGGTTAGGATTCAGCTTACAGAGCTGGATTACAGCCATGAGCATAGCTGACCGTTCCTTATGTCCAGCTGAGACCAGACCCGAAGGGTTTGTCTGGAATCCTCTCTAGGAGGAATGTCAAAACAGGGCACTCGCAACCCTTACGTGACAGAAAAGATGTGTCAGTGCAGAGCCTGGCTATTGGTTGTCATAGTCTAAGGAGAGAGATCAAGTGACTTCATGGTCATCAGCTCTGGCCTATTAATGCACCTCTTACTAGCACTTTTCATCAAGCCCTGAGATTAGGGTTTTCAAAATGTAAATAAACACAGCCCAAATCAACACAGAGTCCTTAAGCAATTAAAGTAGTAAATTGCAAAATATGAGTATTACTTAACATCATGATATAGTAGATGTTTTCTGTCGTCTCCACAAATAGAATCTCCACAGGACTTATTCCTAGTTAATGCTTAATGCTGAACAGTCTTAATCTTTGTTTGTGTTACAAACACATACATATGTTTTATATACACATTCTAGAAGAATCTTTTAAATTAAATAATGAGCATCAAATCTCATTTTATGTTTTGAAAAAAGTTATTACCTATTATCTTAACAACTTGATGGTATCTGTGTATGATATGTATCTTATGTATGAAACACATAAGAAAGATCAGCTCAATAGATGGTGAGACAGTAAAGCTTCACAAGTCACTGTTAATGAAGCTAAATTCCATTCCAGTCAGGGTAAACTTTAACCCAAAAGTCAGATTAGACCTTCAGCTATGACTAAGGTATATTTTGGAGTTCTTACAGTAAAGATTTAGTCCAAAGACCAGTCAAGTGAATAGAAAGTTCCCAATAGACTCCAAAGGTTTCAGAAGATTTGGATGGTCCTGGATCTATCTGCAGTCTTTGACTTCAAATAATTATGATGTGTCTGCTATGAACACCCTGCATCATGAGATTCCAGTCTCATGGAGATTCAGTACTATAACTGCTCAGCAGCCAAGCAGCTAGTTCTTAACCAAAGCATGCTTTAATGCTTCAGGGACATTAAAGACATTTGTAGACTAAACAGAAGTATTTGGAAAACATGATTTTAAGGACAGTTCTGATGATAAATTAAACTGCTATTTTTCCTTCATCAGCAGACAGGAAGAATATATTGGATGTCTCTATGAAAAAAAAAAATGTATTCCTATTGTTATTACAAAAAAGTATTATTTTGCTTTTTAATATTTTGCTTTCTTTTTGTACAAGGTGACTTGAAAGGTATTTGACAGGCCTTTGTATCTGATTTCTTTTTTATCAAATTTGTCTCTTTCTGGAAAACATACCACATTCACTGAGATGACTTCAGATATTGGTTATGTGGTGACTTTCAGTGCCAGAGATACAAACTTACCATGTAACACGGGGTGCTGGCCAGCCAGCCACGGAGCAATGAAATTTGACATTTTGTTTTTCCCAAATAGTGTGGGAACGAGGCTCAATAACAAACTCCGGAGCATGTAAAAGTTTATCTTGATTCAACTTTTTATGGAATGCCTGGGTGTCTTCTAGCTGGAAAAGAAACATTTGATTATAAACTCCAGCAGTTATAAGTGCAAACTATTAATACACAAAAATCATATTTTTTTTTTTAAGCAGTATAAAAATATGCAATTTTTATTTAAAAATCCAGATAGACATACTTAATGTATTTATCTACCTGGACACAGAAAACAAAGTTTTCATATTCCAGAAGTTCTCCTTCCAAAGTAGCTAGATTTGACTTTACTGGGTTTTTTTCCTTAAAAATATTCTAAGTAAAATAATTTTCCACTTTTTTTTTTTTTTTAATAGAGTGAAAGGTGAAATAGGTCTGAAACTCAAGTGTCTTATGTACTTTTTCTCTAATGCAAGATCGTGTATGCCTAGATCATCTCTGACAGACCTGCTCTCAAACCTTTCATGCTGATGGGATCTTTCATCCTCCCAAGGTAACTGTTTCAACTGCTTGGCTATACACAGAGCTGGAAAAAAATTCCTAATATACTGTAAATCTTGCTTTCTGCAAACTAAACCATTTATGTTCTGCCCTAACCTTCACGTAAATGGAGAATTACAGGTCCCTGTATTCAGTTTATTAAAAGAAGACAGCTTTCATAATTCTCTCAGTCTTATAAACTGTGCAATACCCATTTTCCTTACAATTGTTGTTTCTCAGTTCTGAACAGGTTCTGTTTGTCCTCAACATTCATGAAATAGTAGCTGCTCATTATCAGAGGTCCAACAGTCTCCAACACAAATAATTACCCCCTATGTTTTAATTGCAATACTTTTGTTAACACACTCTAGAATGGCATTTGTTTTTATACAACAGTGACTGACATTAAATCGACTGTCATTAAATTTGTGACCGGTTATAACTCCCAGATCCTCAGGTACTTCTACCTAGCCAGGTATTCCTCGTTTACTTGTTCTTTTCCTCTGTGTGTAGTATTTCCATTGCTTGTTATCGAATTTCACCTTCACTGTTTCTCAGTTTTTGAGATGATTTTGAATTTTTACTTTGTCCTTCAAAGTGTTTACACCCTTTCCAACCTCATGCCATGAGGATATTTTATAAGCATATTGCCAATTCTTCTGCTCAAAACATTAACAAATTTGCTAAATGAAACATATTTGCACGTGATATATTCTGCCAGTCTGGTCATAACATCTTTGTATGAGTATTATTTTTTAAGAAGCTGCGTAATAATATCAAAGCTACCCACAATTAAATATTGCTTTCCAGATGTCTTTCACAATTCCCTCCCTAATTTACATCCTGTGATTAAAACTCTGGGGTAAACACTTTGGACAAGCTTGTTCCCAGGCCATAAAAATCCAGAAATTACCCCATCACCTTCTTATTGGCAAGATATGTATATTGGAACCTTTCTTCTCTGCCCAGAAATGGCCTCATCATCCACGTGAAGGATGCTGTGCCATTTAACTAGGTGTGGGCATGACCCAAGAGCGTTCCCCGGCCCCGTTTTCCTTCCCTTTCTCCCAGCACAACAGAAGCGTTCCTGGTGCCTACCTCAGGTACAGTGCCTCTTTTCTTATCCACCTGACACCAAGATAACAAGATTTTAAGTCATTGAAAAGATTTCCATTGAAAATACTTTGGGTTTTTACTACCATTAATGTAATGGCCCATGGTGTAATTCAGGGCCCTGTTGGGCTAGGCACTTTACAAACACCAGACAAAAAAGACACATGCTGTTTATAGCCTCGGTATTAATTTCTACTCTTTTACCTTTTTCTTCAGGGCCACGCGTTCAGCAGACTCCCGGATCGCTACTTTCCTTGACTTTTTTTCATGATGTTCTTCTGTAGAAGTTGACTTGGCCACCTTACTGACACTAACGCCTTCACCTGTGGCAAAAAGGTTCCTCTTGGCAACATATGCAGCACCTTCTTTAATTCTTTCTTCTTCTGTGTCTGTGATCCCACTGATACCCACTTCTCTGGAAGAATTTTTAAAAATCAGAATCCCATTGGAAAATGCTGATAACATATTCCATTTATACTTTCTGTCAAACTAGCCAACTACAGTGGCCAACACTTTGATAACATGTTTCTGCTATTACAGTCTCATATGTATTCAAAGCAGAAACATGGAAGGGTACTGCAGAATGACCGAGTATTTCACTGTCTAAAGTCATGGCCATTTTCAGTGCCTCTTTGTCTAACTATGCCATGCACATTTTCAGTTTAACCATTATCCTGCTGTGGTTTTATATCTCCATCGCTATAAAATATTAGTGTAAGGCACACCCACAGATCTTCAGTTATTGATTTATGGCTGCAGCATTCATAATAACACTACCAAAGGGGCAGGAGTTAATTGTAGCTGTATAAAATGTCCTCATTTGTGATTTATACAAAAAACCACATTACTGTATATCACAAAAAGTTCTCTTTATTCACAGAAAATTCAATCCTGTAATGTTTGTAGGGCGACTGTTCTTCCAAATGTTTTCAAGAAGATTATTAAGGGTTTTCTTGAAGCATCCTCCTCAGGCTTTCTACAGAGGCAAGATGCAAAGAATGGTTACTCTCAACAGGTCCAATCCTGTTTCCATATGCACATGTGGAAGTACCATTGCAGCCATATTGTTTTGGCACTGTCAGGACATTGTAGCTGCTATAGTAGTGCATATACGATGAGAGTTCCTTGACTTAAGGAGAAGCATTAATATCATTCTGCTGAGTTTAGTTACTTTAGTGTAACATTAGATGGCACACTGAAAAGAGGTTCTGTTTAAGTACTCGTTAAGTTAAGCACTCTTGCAAGTGCTACAGAGAAAGCAGCCTCTATTTATTTCCAGAATGCACTCAAGCACAGCCTCGCTATTTTATCATAAAACATTTACTACTGCTACAAATAAAAAATATTAGGAATAATTATTTTTTCTTTTTTCTTTAAGATTGCTAATATTATGAATTTGATAGCTCATCTCAACACTCAAGAAAATTTGGATTCAAGCCTGTAATTAACTGTCCAGCCCCTTATCGCACAGCCTTGCTATTTTATCATAAAACATTTACTACTGCTACAAATCAAAAATATTAGGAATAATTATTTTTTCTTTTTTTCTTTAAGATTGCTAATATTATGAATTTGATAGCTCATCTCAACACTCAAGAAAATTTGGATTCAAGCCTGTAATTAACTGTCCAGCCCCTTATCTTTGGGCTATGAAGTCAGTTCAGTGAGATGCAAGACAGCCAAGCAGTGGAATGTGCTGTAAACTTAATTACGCATAAAAATTACTCAAAAGACTAAAAAACTTACTTAGCAGCATAAAGCTTTGACCTCCCTCATGCATTCAAATTCTGCCTTGAACTTTCTGTGTTTCAGGCTGCTTTAACAAGATGATCCTTGAAAGTATCAGTGAGATGATTGATTCGCTTCACTTAGGCACATCAGCTCCCCCCGCCCAAATATCATCTGAAGTTGCAGATATAGGGCAGAGATTTCTAAAGACAATTTTGAAAACTCAGTTTAATTAATGTAGCTATCTACATTCAGTTTAAATGTATCAGCAGTATTTTCCTTCAAAGGCAAGCTGACATTTTTTCCTCCTTAATTACAGTAGTTAAGATCTCAGCAACTTCACAGTATGGACACACTCTTCAAGGCATAAATCATCTTCTGGGAGCTGATGAATATCCTCAGACTCAGATAAAGGACTCAACCTAGTGATGTGCAGTAGCGAACCCCAGATGCTTTCTATCAACAGTATTAAACATTTAGATTTGCTAGTCATTTCTTCCTGTTATAATCTTCCCAGATCAAAGAGAAACATGTTCCCTGAAACAATGAATGCATCAGAAACAGCACATAGTACCATTTAAGAACTGATTCTGCAGTCAAGTCTCAGGGGTTTCAGTAGAAAACACTTTTCAAACAGAAACAATGGGATCAAACCCCAAGTGGCACACACAAAAAATTATTTAAAGGTTATCTACCATCTGCAGTCCTTTGGCGTAGGCTTATTAGTGGTTGCAAATAGTTCTACGAGCCACATCCAGTATCTTTAACACCTATGGTATTAAATCAAGCTCTGGGTGTTTTATTATCTAGAATACTGGCTGACTGCCCTTAATTTTATCTTGCAAGTATTAGGCTAGGTGTTTAAGAACTGTGGTGAAGTAAATAATCTGAGCAAGGAAGTTTTTTTTACAGCAGAACCTGAGGGCTCTGAAATAGAACTGAATAATGGAAACGGCATGGTGCTGAAGGTCATCCAGCAGCATGGACAATGGCTCCGATGAACCCACAGAGAGCTGACTTTTATAAATAACTATTCCTTGTAAAAGCTATCTGCCCATGGGAAACAACACATCAGTTTCACAGGAGAATTTGGGAGTGACATATAACATGCACATGGTTCAATGGGCTTCAGCTGTTATCTTTCAAACAAAAATAAATATCTGACAGGAATGTGGCATGCAACTTCTGCAGTCTTGGCATGCAGTCATGAACATGATGCCAACAGAAAAAAAGCCTCAAACAGATACCCCAACCATTTCATGCCATGCTGAGTTGGGCACCCTAACAATCCTCACATGCCCTTTTTTATATTTTTTAATTAATTTAAAAAAAACCCTATTTGAGTCATTTCAGTGGCACAAAAGCACACACAACTTCCTGAATTGCCATTTGAAAAAAGTAAGATTGATACCAACAACAGTAAGAAGAAGAATAGTAACAATGATGTAAGAATCTGACAGTCTCTTTTAATGTAGGGTTCCAAAGTATTGCAGAGACACAAATAAATGAAGCTACACACCATCACACTGAGTTAGATTTTACTGTATGCATTTTACAAAAAAGAAACATAAAAAAAGATGATTTGTTAAGATTTGTTAACATGTTAACATCATGTGTTAAGATCACCAGGGCCTGCAAAAAAGCTAAGATCATCATCCAGGAGTACTAGCCATCAGTCATGATTTTCAACTATTGACCAACACTATAAATTTTACTTTTGTAGACTCAAGACACAATAAAAAGGGAAGATATTTGTGCTTGAAGGCATGGGAGACAGATGATGGTGAGCTGCAAATCTACTGCTACGTAAGCAGAAACACTGGGTGAGACACAAAGGTGAGAAGCCTTGAAAACATGTTACCGCAAGTTTTGTGTGTGACATATTTATGTATTTCTATCACAGCAGATATAGCTGAAACTCCAAAGCAATGGTTTAAAAAGGCAACAGTATGTACTTGTGAATGTTGGTTGGATCAAAGAGCAGTGAATCCAACACAGAAATGTACAAGGGGTGAAATAAAATTACTCCAGAATAGTGGGAGGGAATTAATAAAAACCAAAACTGACGGTCTCATCACAAAACCATTGCAAATGCTCAAAAGGCCAAAGCAATAACATCTCCCACTGACAAGGTGGAACTCAGTTTCACATGAAAGCACAAGTTTAGGCACAAAGCAGAAGTGACATTGGGTGTTGATTAAGCAGTGGACAGAAAAGCACTGGGTCTCAGAAACAGCTTGAAAGTGTCCCATGAAAAATGCTGTGCTGCAGAAGAAAGACAAGTTGAAGGAAGGTTTCTGTTCAACTGCAAGTGGGCAAGAAATTTTTTTTCTGGCCTCCAACCAGGAACTGGTTTTCCACACCACACCCTGGTATGTATTAATCTGAACAAGTGACTATGCTTGAACTGCTGGAGACTTCTAATAAAATCAGTATGCCGTACCCCAAAAAGGGCAGGGGAGACTCCTTGCTGATGTTGGTTCTGGCTTCCACATAAAGTTCACATTCAGCTCTACTGAGGACACTGCTGCAGTAAGAGGTATTACATCGGTAGTAACCATGCAACAAATACCACCAACACGTGAGATCTGTATGAATCATTATGATGAATTTGAGAAAGTATTTGGTTTCATTCCAGGTTTTCCCTGTGCCAGGACAAAATATTAGCACATTGTTTCATTGTTTCTATGTTTAATGCTTGGTAAGAGACACTGAATTACAGAACAAGACTTCAAACCAAAAGAATAAGCTAAATAATGTGGACAACATGCTTGTCCAGTTCCCAGTAAGCAGGGTTATAATTATATCTTAATTTCATAGAAAGTGGCTCTGGTGATGTGTTCAAAACAAAGTCCAGGCACCTAGGTTCATTTGTCCTGGCTCTGGATGACCAATGTCTAATTTTCTGCCAGCCAGCTGACTTCTCTTTTTCTTTTTATCACTCATGTGAAGTGCAAACAATCACCTTGAAATCCATGAGTATAAAAAAAAGATTAATGGATTTGTTATTTTATAATTTGTTAATAAAATGTTGGAAATAAGATACCAAACAAAAGGAAAATTAACATACCGTCCTGTGAATATGGGCATTGAGTAGTCTGTGGCTTTGTTCTCTTTGTCCTCAGATACCAAACTCTGTTTTGCTCTCTTTGCTTTGGGACTCATCTTATAGGATTGATCTTCAATCATTAGATTGGAATCTTTCAGTCTGAAATAAAAAAAATATTGTTAAATTCAGGAAAAAAAGCTGTTAAGAAACACTCCAAAATGAGATGAAAGTACTAAAAATTTTTGCTCTCTTGTTTGATAAGCAAGAAAATATCATTTTTAATAGCCATGGCTTCAGAGGTACTAAACACATAACTAAATGCACTTTTCACAAACTCATCATTACAAATATAACACTGATGCCCCTCGATATTAAATCTAAACAGAGAGAATAAACAACATACCTGATAGCAATGCACATTTAATAGCCTCTGGGTTTGGGACTTGGAAAGTTTGTAAACCCAGTTTTGATAGATCCTGAAGTCACTGAGACCACTGAGTGATTCTAAAGATTGTATCTGAACTCACAACATCTACTTTTCCAAACTTTACAGTCCTGAAATTGTCTGGTCCCCAACTGAAATGTTGGTGTGCAAATATATTCAAAGTAATAATGCATTTGAGTGTCTCTACAGAAATTGTAGGGCAGCATATTGCTCAGTAACCAGTGGTGCCATTCCCACTGCTCTCCCATGCCACCCCAATCCATTGAAAGCAGAGAGCTGGGTGAAGTAACACCACTTAGCACAGCACAGATAAATGGAGAATGAACAGAAAGAAAGAAGAGCAAACCAAAGGGAAGGCTTCCCCTCTCCACCAGCCTGGGAGGGATTCTGAAGAGCGTGAAGCATATTTGAGACAGTCATTTTGGGTTCATTTTTAACATGGTTACAAGTTGTGTTAACAAAGCTCCAAATACCTCTATCCTCCTTTCCCGATGCAACACATAGCTAAATCCCAGATCTATGGAATATCCTAATTAGCTGTCAGCCTTTTATAAATCCCCGAAGTGCCTACTCAGCTCTGTCTCAACATTGCCAAAAGAAATCATATGTACGTCTGCTTCTGGTCTGGAGATTTGTCTACACAGCGTAAGCTTACTGCTTATGTGCACAGAAACAGGAGCAGAACTAAGGCACGTGGTTTCTCAGCAAGGCTCGTTAGCCCAGACATGTACCCCTAACATGGCTAACCTGCTTCCCATACCCTGGGTAGCTTACACTGGTGTCTCTACGCAGCACACCGTACACATGTAATCAAAACTCATGCTAGCACTGGGCCCTTGAGAATGTTACACATGCAAAATGCAAGATTACAGATGTATGCTTGGGCTAATGTTTTCCTTAGGCTGCAGCCCTGCAAAAGTACCAGGCTCCAGAGGTGCCACCAACACAAGTCGTACCAGGAAGAGTGCTTAATTTCCAAAATATGTGTTAATAATCTATCCATGTAAGACTGTGTGTGTAAGATCATACGGGTCCAGTTTCACCCTCCCATCTTTCCTTCCTTCGTTTCTTTGTGCCTGTCCCTTTGCTCAGACGGAGTTCTCTCCCTACCCAGTGCCTGTTAAATCATTCTCTCGTTCTCTAGCTCTCTTAATGGCTTTCTTACTGTCATCTCTTCTCCTTCTCCATCTAGTTCCTTACGTGAACTTCACATCCCCTCCCACATCTACTTTCCAACCCTCATCTCTTTGCCCTGCCACTCCCAGCACTGTCAGTAAGAGTTTCCCTTCCTTTCTGCTTAGTCCCCATCTCATCAGACTTGACTGTATTCGGCTCACTTGGCATCGCAGTGAGGCAGCCCTCTCCTCTGTGCTCTCCAGGTGCCCACTTTATAGCCACCATCACCAAGCCTACAGCACTACAGCCAAGAAATGCTTGGTACAGGGTGTAAAAGCAATTATGCATTGGTTCTCCTTCCTTCCTCCTCCCCCTGTATCCTGGTTTCCATGCAAACAAAAGCACAGCCAGAGAGGGGCTGTGGCACACACCACAGGACAGGGGCCAAGGGTTTACCACATCAGGCACCACTGGATCAGCCAAGGCACAGACCAAGTCTACAGGAGAGAGATATTGTCTGCTCTGAGGTCTGATGCCAGGCGCTGCCCAAGACAGCCAGGGAGGGAATCCAAGGGAGGCAGATCCAGCTTTAGGGACAGAAATCCAAGCAGAAAACACTTGGGAACAGTCCAGGCAGAGTAAAATAAAAAGGAAGAGACAGAGTGAAACAGGGTATGCAATGGCCTCACTCCTGGGTTGGGCAACGATGTGGTACAATCACCACGGTCAAGCACAAATGCATTTGGAGAACTCATCATCAAACAAGTGGTAAGAAACAACAAAGGCAAAGTATTTTCATTTTTTTTTCATAATTGAACTATAGTCTGTAAGGAGCTGCGGTTCTTTACTTAGCAGGTGACTTTTATTCCTGTCCTATTTTAAAATGGGACAAACCTGGAATTTTGACTCTGACTGCCATCAGATTTCCTAGGGGTTTTATGCTGAACCCTTTAGGAGGCCACTTGATTCCTGGTTGTTTCTAGATCGAGAAGGCTCACAGTATCATTTGAACTTCCGTTTAAATGTCAAGAAATTTCTCTTTTCATAAAAGTGGGTGAAATGCGGTGAAAATTTCAGGTCAGGCATTTTCAGCACTGTTAAATCCAGAGTAGCTCTTTGTTCCTAAAGGAGAATTTGGCTGTCCTGTCAGTTTAGTTCTCAGTTAAGGTCCAGATTATACACTCATGTAAGGAATTAACAGGGAGTGTACATAGTAGTTCCCATCACTCTTTGCTAGGCCTTTTGTTGATGTCTTTCCTACATGTGGGGGATTTTTTTCCTATCCTACACTGGCAACTCTCTAAAATTTTTTGAAAAGGAAAGAATAAGTTGCTATAGGTTCTGTTTGTTTAATGGTGGGGTTTTTTTAATCAAACACTCCAAGTGTTTGAAGTTGAATATCAAAGTTTCATTTTTTCTGCCTTCCACAGCTGGCTTTATGAAAATATCCCCCAAATCCTTCAGATTAATGCCAGAGATCTCCGTCACAATGGAGCCTGAGAAACAGGGATGGAAGTGGGACTTTTACCGAGGTATGATGACTAGGATAAAAACACTGTACACGCACAGCTGATTCCCACTCTATTCTGAGTTTTTTAAACCGCATGTCCCTTGATTGAGGCACCTTTCGCTGCAGCCACCTGATGATTTTCTGGATTACTACTCCTGGGTCCTTCATGTTATTGCATCCTTTGGTTGGCTCTTGTATGTATGTGCTCAGGACCACAAAAGCACCTTTCTAGAAGACATTTCCTCTCTTCTTTCTCTGGAAGGGGCAGCTGCAGCGAGAGTTTTTGTGCTGTCTTCTAAGAGCAAGGGTTGGGTCCCAGTACTTTTAGTGGTACAGAAGAAGGAGCACTCAGCTATCAAAAGCACAGATGATAACTGTGAGCTGAATAATGGATCCACATGGATCCTGTAATTGTCTGCTGTTCTCAGATTGCTAACACAACACTCCAACCAATTTACTTCAGTCATTTGCTCTTCCGGAAACTTGACCTGGACTAAGCAAGACCCCAGTGAGAGAAGTGTTTCATTGAATAATGGTGCCAATAGTGCTTTTAGACCAGTTTTCTGTTCCAGCAATGATCAAGAGCAGGTAAAAAGAAAGTTTATGTAGAGAAATACTTCACTTGATACATCCTTTTGGTTTCAAGCAAAGGCCTAGGGACATCCTGAGCCAGAGGTTGCATCCTGGCTGTAGTAGTGAGCTTACAACTTTTTTATATATGAAAATGGCACTTTATTTTGAACCTGTTTTAACCTGCCGCTTTATAATCTCTTTTGTGCTTACATGCTGCTCTGTGGGAATAATAATTCCCTTTTCACTCTCTGCCCATCTCTCACTATTTTATACATTGTTACATGCCCACATTTGCCTCCTTCCCAAGATAAAAGCCACAGTGTCTTACCTTCTCCCAACAGAAGGTATTCCATGCCTCCCACTACCCTGACATCTGACCCTTTTCTAGTTTCAGACTGTACTTTTTGAGATGAGATGATCAGAACTGCACCTAGTATTTCAGCTATGAACATACCATGGATTAACACACTGACACAATATGCTTTCTGTTTTATTTTCACTTTCTCTCACAACTGTTCCTAAATTTCTAATTGCTTCATGACCACATCATAGCATCCAGCTGGTGTTTTCTGAGAGGTATCCAGAGTCACTCCAAAGTCTTTTTTAGAATTGCACTGCATAAACCAAGAGCTGAGATGCATAAATTTGAAGCAGCAGAAAATGTTTCTCCTTTCCAAATCCTCTTATAATTTCATCTGTTCAGGCAGAGCTATATGGAGGCTAGTAGAAATGCATATTCAAATGGAGATCTTTGCATGGGAAAACAAATTGATCGCTATTTCTATCATGAGGTTTATTTCCCTGTTTTCCTTTTTTGTTATTACTGTTTCTTCCTGTGCAACACAAAAACCAAACCCTGCCTACAACCATTATTTAGGTAGCCCAAACAAGGACTCTACTTTCTTGAACCAGATTCTAAAATCTTGCCCTTTATTTTAAAATGTTCCAACCTTTTACCTGATATGTGGAACAGAATCTCCCCGGAGGAGAAGGAGCAGAGTATCAGTGCTCTCTTGTTTCACAGGGAGGAACAGAACCATGACCTTTTAACAGCTTTCAGCCTCATTTGATATGCCCAGCTAGCATATGTATGTTTTTTTCCAGGTCAGATACTATCTGTACTGCCTTATCAAGGTTGGTGACCCAAGCTTACTGTCCTCATTTCTTGATGTTTTCCAGCATGTTAAAATATCAATGCCAGCTTTTCCTAGTTTCTCAGTAGAGTCACTGAATTGGGAGTTGGGTGACTGTAAATGCTAAAGGCACAGGCATTGTCCTGTAGAGATGTAAAAACCAGACAGATACTACAAGCTTTTCCCTGTAGCCGAACAGAGGAACTAAAGACAACAACACAGTGCAGGACCTCTGAAACTCCCAAACAGAGGTTTTGTTTTGATGTCTTACTCTCAGATAGAATTATACTTCAATATGTTGGCACTGCCCTTGTTTCTGTGCCTGAAGGGACAGGTTTCCTGCACGAAGAGAGTCTGAGCCCAGTGGGTGTAGAAATTTGTT